TGCACCCCATGGCACGCTGTGTTTGCTGATGTTCAGCACTCCAGAGCACATTGAAATTCCCTCTCACTCTGCTTTGTCCTTCCCTGGGCCTCTTTCCCCTAATTTCAGTCTTTAATGAGTAATCAGGATCCCATTTCTATGGAGGCTCTCTCATCAACCTGTTTGTGGTGATTAAAGCTCAGCAAGTCCAGGAGCCTTGAGACTTTGTTCTCTGAGAGGAACCTTTCATTTAAAATCCCTTAGCGCCCTTCTGCTCTTCTGTGGAAATAATAAATAATAACAGAGATCCTTATAGATAAGTTATTTTTCCTTTGCACAGAATCTGCAGTACTTACAGGATAGTAAAATATGCCACTATAGGGACAAACCCCTTTGTGCCTTGATAAAAAATCAGGGTCATCCATGTGGGATGCATTTATTGGGAACTGGGGATAAACTCTGGAATGTGTCTTGCTAGGAAATGTGTCTCGTAGTAAACAGGTTTCAAAGAGTTGTTACAGAACTGCCACGATTTCAGCTTTGAGCAAGGAATGCTGTAAATATCAATTGCTGTTATAAAAAGCAGTAATTGTGATTTCCAGGAGTTTTACTTTCCTATTTTATCCTGCTGCTTGTATCCAACCAAGAGCTGTAGCAACATAAAAACACGTGGATTCATTCAAATGCTCACTAATACATTGTTTAATTCAAATTGTTCTTAAATAGCTTTCTAAATTCTATTTCATTTTGTTATTTTGGGATTTATTGCTGCTTTAGTTCATAAAGCTGCTGGATTCCAAAATCTGAATTACAGTCCCTCTAGTTTGGTTTTTTTTTAATACAAGAAGTTGTACACAAGTATTCTTGATTACTTTCCTTTAGTTCCTCGTGAAATAATAAAGTAACAGCTCTTTATGCCCTATTTAAAATTTGAGTGCCAGCCAAACTCTGTTTTAGCCTCCATTTCAAGTGAGTTTTCTTGTCATGCATTCCCACCACACCACAAACCTCCCCTCACTGTCTTTGCTGATCACTCCAGAGATTCCCAGCCTGGGAAATTATTGGTCATGCTTCCCTAACTCTGCTTCCCCCAAGAATGTAACCCTTAGGAAATTCAAACCTTGAGCTCCTATTCCCTGATTTCCAGAGATGTATAAGATTCCAGGAGCAGATGGTGTAATTTGGAAGGTCACCACTCAAGGAGGCTGGAAAACTTGAAGTGAAGGTTTCCATGCTCTACAACCTCACTGACTTCTGGGTCTGGTAAATTTACTTGGTTGATCTTAAGTTTGTTTTCTCTCTGAATGGTCCTCTGAGTTTTCAATGAAAGCCCTAAAAGGATAAGATTTAGTTTTAAGTCCTAATAATTAAGACTCCTGTTGATGTGAAAGGAGCCCCTTTTTGGGGCTCCTGATAATGCCAATGTTTGCTCTTCTGGCAACTTTCAACCAAAGCTGTGCAATGTAGTATCTCCAGTTTGAGTCACACGAGATAAAAATAAGGCTGAGTGACTCTGGAAATCAAAATCTGTCTGTGATGGTTCAAAGGATGGGGAGAAAACTGCAGAACTCAAAGTCACCTCGTTCCAAACTGCTGCATGACTGGCAAACCACGTTCTCCCCCCAACCATCCTCTCTCGTGATGAATTTCTGAGAAATTAAAAGCAAACAAATAAATTGAAAACTAAAATGCACCTCCACACATCCAATTTTTTGTTGTTATATTCCCTAATCAGCAGTGGGCTGCTGTTGCAAATGAAAAACTTGGGTTATTGCTGCAAAAAGAATCTCTGCAGAGAGAACAGCAAGTTGTTGAGATCCAAGAAACGGTGCTTAACTGGGGCTGTAAAATGAAAAGACAGTCAGCAGCAGGGAGAACATCATTGTGAGCTGGGTTATTATGCTCATATTTGAACATTAGCAAGTCTTGAGATGCAAGATGTGATTTCTAAACACCTCCATAAGCCTGTGCTCTTAAAACTGGGTTCACTTTTAGGAGGCTCTGCAACGTTTCCATCCCCACAACGACTCACTCGGTCTTCTTCATCCTTTCCCTACTTCTCTCTTATTATGGTTAAATATTATTAATAGTTTTATTCACAACATCTTTTTTTTTTCCTCCTGTGTCTTCTGAGATGCTTCTATGTGAAAAATGGTCTAAGGTTTAATACTGTGGTTGGTATTTTGTAGGATATTATTCCGCATTGTGGAATATGTAGTTGGTGTATATTTTGTCTTGTTTCCAAAGTCTGTCTTTTAAAGAGCAGCTGAAAAATTTGTCATCTGGCTCTTGCAATAAAGCTGAATAGATATGAAAATACTCCTACTGATGTCTCTAGCAGTACTTTTAACAATCTTCCTTGATTCTCCAACTTTCAAGGTCAGTTCACTCCTTCTTTATTGAACCAAACTTTGTGGAGTCTCTCTGAACAGAGCAGTGACTTGGGATTTTGGTTGATTTTCTCTTTGTTCCAGAGCAGTTTTGCCCAGGCTTTAAACCCACCTGAGGATAAGAAATCTATTCTAAGCCACGCCAAGGACAGAATCTCCTCTGCTTGTGCTGCAGGGAGAGGGTTAAAATGCTCTTTGTGCAGTGGGTTTGCTGTGACTCACAGTTCCCACCGAGGCAGGTTTGCAGTGCCTGGTACAACTCTTTCTCTTGCTTCCCTTGGTTTCATCCTTTCCCTTTTGTGTTTTGTGTTTGAAGGGAAGGTCACAGAGCCTCTCATCTGTGTGGTCTCCCAGCAGAGCAGGAGGGAGCCGAGTGAGAGCCCGGGCTGAGCCGTGCGGGGGGAAGGAGGACACGGGCAGGGAAGTTCTAACAGGAACAAAGAAAGCTGGAAGGACCCAGAGGTTTAAGCCACAACCCTTTGGAAGCAAGAGGTCAGCCAGAGGTTTAAAATTGTATATGGTTTTCTCCTGGCTTTGATGGCAAGTTCTTTTAAAGCCCCGCTGGAAGAAAGGATTCAAAGCGATGGGAGGGTTTGCAGGAGCACTGATTTTTCTGCCTTATCATCAGTATTGCACACTTTGCAATACCTGGAGTCTTTTACTTTGCAATACCTGGAGTCTTTTACTTTGCAATACCTGAAGTCTTTTACTTTGCTCCTCAGAAGTCTGTGGAGAGAGGAGTAAATTATTCCCTACAATGACAAATTGACTGTGTGAGCAAAGTGCACACACAGGAAATTAATTATAGCAACTTCACCTCCGAAGATTTCCTCCTTCCTTCCTCCGCACAAAGAGAGGTTGTGGAAATGTTGCCTCTCAGAGCTCCCAGCACTGTCAGGCCTCCCTTTGTGCAGCTCCACACTGTGCTTTGAACACAGGGATGTGGAGAGGTGACACCCCCTTTGAGCTGAGAATGTCTTCCCAACACCCAGGGCTGAGGGGACCAGCAGTGATTGGAATTTTTGTAAGTAACACAATGTTGGTGAAACACATCAAATATCTCCTCATTTAAAAATTCAAATCATAGAATCATGGAATGGTTTGGGTTGGAAGGACCTTAAAGCTCATCCAGTCCCACCCCTGCCATGGGCAGGGACACCTCCCACTGTCCCAGGTTGCTCTAACCTGGCCTTGGACACTTCCAGGGATGGGGCAGCCACAGCTTCTCTGGGCAACCTGTGCCAGGGCCTCCCCACCTTCCCAGGGAACAATTCCTTCCTAACATCCCATCTAACCCTCCCCTCTGTCATTTTGAAGCCATTCTCCCTTGTTCTGTCATGTACAAAAAACATCTCAGGACTCTTTGCACAAAAGCCTCTGCTTTGGCAATTTCCATTTCTTTACCTCTTCTCCTTTATTTTTTTGGCAGCAGAGTTGCAAAAGGGTGATACTCTGACATTCTGTAAAGGACAGCAATCTGATTTTTTTCTGGTCCAGAATTAATTTGGGTTTCAAACCTGACCCAACAGACACACAAATCTTACTTAAACTTGTCAGATCCAGGATAAAATATTTCAGTTGATACAGGCTGACATTTTTAACTGAGATGTTTGATTTGCAAAAATGTTCTCAATTCCAGCTTTTCTTTTTTTTTTTTCCCCTCATGAACTGTGAAGGGAATAGTTTTAGACATGTCATTGCATATTTGACTGACCAGTGATTCACTTGATTACTTTACTAGAGCAACACATGACATAACTAAATCATGGGGCTTTAAATGCTTCTGTTTTGTAAATGGGAGGACAAGGCTTTAATTATTAAATGCAGAGCATCTGCATTACAAAATTCTGAAGGCTGACAATTTTCCTGGAATCAGCTGGACAAACTCCAGCTCTTCAGATAGAAAACCCAAACCTGTGAAACTTTCACTCCCTCCCTGTTTCTGACCAGCCCTTAAATAAGAAAGAAATCCTTCTTTCATGGGAAGTAAATAAATACACAGGCAGCTCAATGGGCTTCAAAGGGATTAAGTAAAGGTTTGCACGTAAAATAACTAAATTATAGTATTTTGAGCCTGAATTTCTTGATCTTTTTAATCATCTGTGAAATAAATCTTGTTTGACATCGGTTGCTCTCATTTAGAAAGCAGATTGCACACCCTGAAATTCCTAGAAAAGTTATATTAATATACTGATTTAATAGTTTCACCCTTCATAATATACTTTATTATCACTCCATCCAAAACCTGAGTTATTTTGCTGATAAAACTTCCATACTCTGTATTGTTTTCCCATTGCTTTTGTGAATACTGAATAATAATTTATATCTAAAAGTTTTTTGTTTTCCTTCTGAAATGTAACTTTTTGGGGAAAAAAAAATATCATGAAAGAGATGCAGTTTTATTTTTTTGGCCTCTCTACAAAATATCCTGTAAGATTTAAATTGATTGCAGGGAGAAAAAATCCAAGGCATCCAAGCAGACACTTGGTGTGCTCTACATCAAATTATTCCAAGCCCCTGCAAATATTTATAGTGAAAAGGAGAACTGAACCTCAGCCCCACCACAGCAAAACTGAAGGTGGTGCTTGAATAAACCTGAGAGGTTATATTTTAAATTAAGGAATTATTTGAATGCTGAACCAAGTGGGAAGGGTTTGCAAAGGTTTTACATCCCTGAGGTGGAACTTTGTTGGGTTTGGTGAGTTTTTGGACGGAATTATGAGGGAGGTTGGGAAGGGAAGCCTTGGCTTTTCCTGGGCAGTGTGTGTGTGTGTAACAGGACATTTTGCTCTTGGAATGTGGTCAAACCACTCAAACAAGGCCCTGTTTTACAAGGTTTTGGTGTTGAATTCTGCTAAAACCAGTCTGGCTCATCAAACCCAAATTAACCTCCTGATAGTGAGGCAGAGATTTGGCAGATGAGCTGCTCAGCTGACCTGGGCACTTGACTAAATCAGTCCCTTTATACTCTAAAAGCCCAGGCCACTTCCAGACCATCAGATTCTTCCACCTTAACCCTGTTTGGATTGTGTGGAGTTTCTCCCTTGTGATGGGGACACCCCTCGAGGTTCAGAGAGAGAGATCTGCTCACAGGCTTTGGTTTGGTGAGTTACATCAACCTCTAATTAATGATTATTTCTTGTTGTCAGCTTTAATATAATTGCTTTGATATAACTGCTTTGACATAATTGCTTTGATATAGTGCCCTACCCTATTTTATGTTATACTACCAGGAGTTTTAGCTTTTATACTCTGTGGTAAATAATTCTGATTAAGACCTTTTGTCTGATCATTTGTCATGATAAATAATTCACTTATATTAATATACCCAGCTTGTAATCTCTAACCCTGTGGGACAAAGTTGGACTTAAACTGTTGCCTAAGTCTGAGGCTAAGACTGGACCCAGGAGGAGTTTAGAAAGCAAGGGGGTCCTTTCTCTAATAAACTTTGTCTAAAGCTCCTCTCACCCACAACAGTTTGTGCCCCTGGTTTGCAAACACTTCTACTCAGAGTCAGGAAGTTCAATTGGCTGTTGATAGAGAACTAATTTGCTGCTTTTTGATGCTCTGCTCAAACTGTTCTTGATAAATAAATTATTGGATGGGTCGAGCCCAGAATTTACATATCATGTCTGATGAGAAGTTGTACATTCATTATTCACAAGTGTTTGATGAACAGCATCTGAAAAAAGAAAGAAACCCAAACATTAACCATGTATTTTTTAGGATGATTGACTCAGCTCTAGTGATAAAATTGTTTTTCCATGATTGCGAATCTAACCATAAAAATAAGGAGGCAGCTCAATCACAGAAGTGTTGAACCCTGTTATGGATAAGAGCCTTTGTTCAGACAGCTAAAAATATCTATCCCAAGAAAGAACAATTATTAATCACTAATGGAAATAAGAGTTTTGGTAACTGTGGCTGTGGAGTTCATGACCTGTTTAACAGGCTCACACCAAGCAGTGGCCTGGAGCTGGAATGGGAGACTGATGAAAAAATGCAGCTGAATATGACAGAGAAATTGGAAATAACCATAGAAAAGTGGTTATAAACAACACAGACACCAAGAAATTATTGCTTTTGAAAGCAAAGAAGTGTTTGGCTGATCCTCTGGGGCACAGGGTGTGACTCCTGGGCATGGTCCTGTGCAGGGCTCAGGGCTGGACTCGATGATCCTTGTGGGTCCCTTCAAACTCAGCATATTCTGTGATTCTGTGATCCTGAGGCTCATCAAACTCCCAAATCCTTCAGTTTTGCTGACTCAGACCATGGCAATAGTTTGGCTTGGAAGGGACCTTAAAGGCCATCTCATTCCACCCACTGCCATGGGCAGGGACACCTTCCACAGACCAGCTTGCTCAGAACCTCATCCAACCTGGCCTTGAATGTTCCAGGGATGGGGCAGCCACAGCTTCTCTGGGCATTCCAAATTTTCACCACCCTCAAAGACTCATTTTTCTCTATATCCAAAGTCCAAAGACTCATTTTTTGCTTTATCCAAAGTCCAAGGACTCCAGGCCTTGGAATCACCATTTTGTGAGGACTTCACGGCCTGCATTTAATTCAGAAATTTTAATTAATAATATAGAGAAATGGTCACAGCAGTACAAATCTATAACTCTGCTAAGGCTGCTCAGTGTCCCAGGGTGTTGGAAGGTGCACGTTTGGTCCTCCATCAGCTTGGGCAAAATAAAGTGTAAACCCATGAGACAGCACCAGAAATCTTGAGGAAAACTTTGTGTTATTAATGTCTAAAATGCCCCAAACCATGTGAATAAGCAGCAGTGACCTGATTATATGAAAAAAAACCCAAACCACCTCACAGAAAAACCTACCGGAGCTGTTTTAATTGATTGTTCAGTCACCTGCAAATGATGCCCCTGGCTATGAAATGCAAATTTACCTCGAAATATTCGTGTTCATCTGATGGTTAAAAGGTCTGTTGTACTTTGAATCTCAATAAGCTTGGCTTGAGAACCCTCTTCTCTGCACACCATAGGTTTTCTATATATATATTTATATATATATATCACACAATCTGTTAGGTTGGAAAAGACCTCTGAGATTGAGTCCAGCCTATGACCAAACACCATCACAGCACTGAGTGTCATGTCCAGTCTTTCCTTACATAAATATATGCAAATTAGGTATTTAAATGGAGATGTATTATCTATTTATGTATATATCTAATAATATATCTATATATAGATAGATAGATATAATATATATAATAATGTGGACTTGCAGGCAAATCTAAAAGGTAAAAAAGATACATCACTAATTTTTGCAGTTAGGTGAGAACCTTAGCCCAGGGCAAGCACTACAAATCTGCCCTTTGTAAACATAGAGAAAGGAGATGAAAAATCAGTAAGGACATGAAAAATCAGTTCAACCTCTGATGATGTGTTGCACAGGAGGGCCAAGGAAGGACAATGATCCCTGTTCACTGCTGGGTGGTGGGTATGAAAAACTCCTCTTTCGAGGTCAGGAGACATTTTGTGGTTGAAGAAATGTATTTACAGACTGGGGCCATTGTTGTGCAAGAAGTGGATGTTTTGTGCTGGTCAGATCAGCTTAATTGGACTTGAGCCTGAGTGGCATCTTCTGCTGTGCCCTTTGGTGTCCATGGTAGGAAAACTGTCTCACCTGCATTTGGCAAGAGCTGGAACCATTGGCACCATTTGATTTCTACGTTGTCCCCTCAAATCCTGGAATATCTGCTGCATGTTTTAGCTTTTAGGGTATTTTCTCCAATCATATTTGAAGTAATCTATATTATAGCGTTTATATTTCTTCCCAGGGCAGACAATCTGATATCACAATCTTATTCCAGAATCTACTATCTCATGGTCAAGAAGACCCATCCCTTTAAGCTGTACCCCCTTACATCACCCTACACAATTTTTTTTCCTACTTCAGCTCATTCATCAAATATTTATAGGTAGTTCATGCCCCTATTTACTCATTACTCAGCCAAATTTTACACTCTTAGCTCATCCTCCCATGTTTAAGTATTTTCCCCAAATGTTTATTTTAGCTTAAACCGAGATTTGATTACTAGTGAAGAAGAAAGATGATTTTTTTTTCAGATTTATGTCTCCCTAAATACATTAAGACAACATCTGTGCTCATTTATACGTTGTCAGTGTAGGTAGGAATACTAAAAAAGGTTAGAAATTGGTCTGTGGGGCTTGTGTTGCATTTTAGGTAGAACTTGGTAATCTGAAGTGACATCAGATTTGCTGTCACAGAATTCCTGTGCCTTGCAAAGGCATATTCCCTTTGTCCTCTGCTTACTGAAGAGGCAGAGAAGTAACTTTGGTGCAGAAATCAAGAAGTGGTTGTTCCTATGGATCTCTGGGTATGTCTGTGGACACATGGATGGTGAGAGGTAGTGGAGCTGCTTGCTGAGAGAAGGAACTGGCTGAAAATATTAATAATCAGCATTTTCACACTGTTAAATGAATATTTCCGTGCTCCTTTTCCTCAGTTGAGGAAATCCATGCATTCTGATGCCGAATTTTGCCCCAAAATGTGCAGAGGAACTGCTCAGAGACAGAGTTTTCAGTCTTTAAGCAGGAGGTATTTATTGCAAAGCAACGTTGGGGAACTCCCGGCTCGCGCTGGACAAAGAGCTCCAAAGCAGGCAGTGAACAGCTGGATTATTTATACAATTCTTGTTAAGAGATTACATCATTTCTCATGAATATTCATGGTATTGAAACATCTAGTTATAATATTCATAACAGGCAGAGTTAGGGTGGAGTCAGGGGCATGATCTTCATTTTGGGGATAATCTTGATGGTACATCCAGTTACTTCATCCTCAGGGGTCTGAGTTTTACTCCTCTTTCTCAGGTAAACTTTTGAACTTTCTTTGATTTGGCTGACTACTAGATGTATTTGGCAGGGGTTTCTGAATATCTGGCAGGAGTTTCTGGACCCTGATCCTCCTTTTTCCCCTTATCTTCCTGTGTTCTTACCATATATATATTTACGTGTATGTTAGCGTTCTTAGTGTTCTATTATTTCCTATCCTTTATGTTCTCTTGTGCGTCAGATTTCTGTATGTGTTATTTTCCATCAGTCCTTGAGTTCTAGTTCTCTTATTCCTTTACTCAGGGCATGCATTCAGAGTTAACTCTTCAGGCCTCGTTTTGCTACAGTCAGGTAAATTTTTCAGGCCGTGCTCTGTTTCATTCTGCATCATTTTCTTGCTTTCCAGGTGCTCAGAACGTTGCGTTGCTGTGACTCCCCTGAGCTGGCAGCCGGCTCTGTGCTCCAGCCCTTTTCCAAAGCTATTAGAGGAAATCTTTCCCATCGACTGGAGCAGCGTGGGAGCTGCCACAGGGCCGTGCTGAGCAGCCCAATTTATTGATGCTGTTCATGTTCCTGAACCGGGGGGACCCTCCTGAAGTCGCCTGGCGTGCAATTCTCAGCTCCAGCGGTCTTGGGTTTGATCAGGGAAGTTAAACTGTGATTTATTTGGAGCTCTGCAAATCTTTATTCCTGGCTATGAACAAGTGTTCCAGGGCAGTGGTGTGTGGGCCATCTGCCAGCGGTGGATGTGCTGTTGAACCCCCAGCCTGAGGCTCTGGGGAGGAAGGGAAGAAACTTCCCTTTCCACAGCGTGGAAATCAAATGGTGCCAATGGTTCCAGCTCTTGCCAAATGCAGGTGAGACAGTTTTCCTACCATGGACACCAAAGGGGACAGCAGAAGATGCCACTCAGGCTCAAGTCCAGTTAAGCTGATCTGACCAGCACAAAATGTCCACTTCTTGCACAACAATGGCCCCAGTCTGTAAATACATTTCTTCAACCACAAAATGCCTCCTGACCTCAAAAGAGGAGTTTTTCATACCCACCACCCAGCAGTGAACAGGGATCATTGTCCTTCCTTGGTCCTCCTGTGCAACACATCATCAGAGGCTGAACTGATTTTTCATGTCCTTAATGATTTTTCGTCTCCTTTCTCTATGTTTAAAAAGGGCAGATTTGTAGTGCTTGCCCTGGGCTAAGGTTCTCACCTAACAGTTATTTCTGATTTTAAATCAATCCTTTTTTCCAGGCGTGAGGCAGTTTTAATGTTTCTCCAATAATATCTTGCAGAAAGAGCTGGAAAGTGTGTTATGGGGCATAGAACAGCTTAATTTTCCAGGCAAAGGGAGCTACCACAGACATTGCTTCTTTGCTGCTTCTGCAGCACCTTTGCCTTCCCACATACATTATCCCACATTCCTGAGCTCTGCCAGAGCCCAGCAGGTCCTGGGCTCTGCTGGCACCTTCCACGTGATGCAGCAGCCCAAGACCTTTTGGGTTGTCACAGCTCCCAAAGTGCCAAAACCATCCTCAATCCAGTGCCCACCCCCCCATGCAAAGGCAGCTTACACTCAAATATAATTATTTCCTTAAATAAACAACCAAGTGAACAAATGTTTGGAATTCACAGACAAAAAAAAACAACAACAAAATAAAATAAATTTTCAGTGACAGTTCTCATTAGAGCTCTAAAACTTTGGCAACTTTTTCAACCTTTTTTTTTCCTCCTCCAGAAATAGCTCTGAAGTGTTGATAATGTCCAGGAGGTTAATTCACGGTGCCTGCCACAAGGTGGGGTTTCTGAAATGATGTATATTTGAAGTCTATTGGCTCACTCAGAGGAATGGGAGAGGACACATTGTCAAATGAGGCACCAAGGTGGTGTAAACCTCTGCTTTGTAGCCAGGACAGGGACTGGTACAAACAACATAAAGAAATGTAGGGTCCTTGTTTATAATCAGATTCATAAATATAAAGTGCTCCACACTGTATAAAATCACTCCTTTACAAGATTTTTTTTTATATACACCATGGTTTTGGGTTTATTTGACATGAGACTGCATTTTAGGGGCTTAAGCACCACCTTATCTTTCCTTTTCCCAGTTGAACCTGGATTAAAGGAGAATTTATCTGGCAGGAAATTTATTTAAATGCCATCACCTGAATCTTCATCCCCACACACCTGGGGAAGCCCTGGGGGGACTTGTCTGGAGCTGATGGTTCCTGTTCCACTGTGATCCCCAAGGAACTGCAGGAATCCACAGAACCAGGTGAGACCCAGGGGGGGTTTCTGGGAGTTAAAATTTCTAAATGTATTTTTTTTTTTTAACTCTTTGGATGGTTATTTATCTCTATCTTGGGGGAAAAAACCTCTCCCTGGGGCTGTCTAAGTGCTCAGCACCAAACTCTTGGAGTGGGAAAGGCTGCACGTGATGGGGATACAGGGATGAGTATTCTTAAGTTGCACCAGGGGAATGTTTAGATTGGATATTAGGGAAAATTTCTTCCCTGAAAGAAAGGTCAGGCATTGGAACAGGCTGTCCAGGGACGTGGTGGAGTAGGTAAGTTCTCAATTTTTGAGTTTTTGGTCCCCTGTAAAACCCTGGCTATAAATGAAAAAAATACGGTCCCTTCAATTTTGAACAGAGAAGGTCACATTTAAAAAGCAACATTAAGCTTTTGACAGTGAAGTTTACAAAAAAGGAAGATAAATAAGAGAGCTCTGGAGTGCAAATCAAAGAGTGAAAGGTTTGTGGTGTTGGAGGCCAGGAAAGCTCAGTGTGTTTGGTTGGGAGGAAGGGAATGACCATAAAGAGAAGGCTGCAAATCCATAAAGGGATTTCATGGGAAGTTGAGGGACTGATTGTTCTTGTTGGGCTTCAATTTAAAGAAAAACATTATAGGGATAAATTGTGGAATCCCAGAATTATTTGAGTTGGGAGGGACCTTAAAGATCATCCAGTTCCAACCCCTTCCACTAGGTCATGAGACAGCATAAAATGAGACCCCTTTTAAGGTCCCTTCCAAGCCAAACCATTCTGTGATTCTCATTTTCCCACTTTAAATAACAAGTTGAGGTGAAGTTCTAAGGCATAAAACCTGTTTTTTAGAAGCAGTGGTTGCAAGTGTTAAAATGTTTGGGGTTTGTGCATTGAAATGAATTTTTAATGTTCTATCTCTGTAATTAAGAAGGGCAGGAAAATGGGAACTCTTCAGGGGCAAGCAAGAAGATATCGTTTGATATTTTGAAAGTGCTCCGAAGTTTAGGAAGCTTTAATAAAGTAATAAAGCAGGAAAAATGTATTCCCTCTGTCCCCTCTCTCTTATCTTTCTCAATTTTGGGAGCCTTGAAAGATTCCAGGGAAGGTGTACTGACAGCAAACAGGCTTTTCTTGGTTACCTTCAGTGCCTCCAAAGTAATCCATGGCCCCTTGGGATCTGCAAATCATGGACTGAGAGCAGCTCTCCGGGTGATAAAAGCTGCAGGATAACTCATTTAAAAGTTACTTTGCAGAGATGATGATTACTGAGTCTTGCAGAGATATACACATGAATTGTCTCTTGACTTCGATGGAGTCAATTAGAGCTCCTTAATTAGTGCAGTTAGTAATCATCTGCTGAAATTACAGACGTTCTTTTGTGCTATGATTTGTATTTTAATACCATTTTTAAAAATGACCCTGCCTAGACAGATTTGGTTGAACATTTTCTTTAGTTGCTTTGGCACTGCAGGACTACTTTAAAATAATTTAATATCTGAGACTTCTCTCAGCAACATAATTTCTTGGGTGGTTTTCTATTTTTCTCCTCACTTATGGTTTTTGCTTTGATTCCTTGTAATCACTCCTGCTTAAACCTTCTGAACTCTGGGACTAATTCATCCTTTTTCCTTGGCTTTTCTTTTCTTTTTTTTTTTCATTTTTCCAATGAATTTATTAATCATGAAAGACCGTCCATATGGGAAACACTCATTTGATGCACCAGACTAAACTCTTAGATTGCTTTTTGATTTTGAAACAATCTGGTCTCTCTTTGAAGGAGTTACAGCACAGAGACACCTGATAGTTCTTCATTAAACATAAATAAAGGGGAAAAGGCAGTGGAATAAGCAGATCCTATAAATCCCCATGGAAGAGCCATGTCAGAGGGACAACAGACTCATAACTGCCTGGGAAATTGGTGGGGTGGGGAGGGACCTGGAATCATTCCAGGCAACACAATCATGCAACAAAGCTTTTGGATATTGATTCCTCTTAACTTCTACAAGCAGCAAAACCTGTTTTCCCACATAGCAGGGATCCTACTCTTGCATTGTCTGAATGTTTCTGCCTAATGTGTCACCTGGAGCACCCTAAATGGGCAATTTTTCTCCTGTTAGGAGCTGATTCCCCTCACACAAAGCACTGGGATGGGACGTGGCTCACGTTTAGTTCCCGGATTTGACTCCGCGATGACAAATCCCTTTAATTTTGACTTGCTCGTATTTGTGGAACGAGTGGGGACTCCAAGATATTGCAGGAATTATTTTCAAGCAAAGCATTTGTTTTGACAGCATTGAAAAAAGCAGGAAAAAAAAAAAAAGGGAGAGATATTATCCTGTGACAATATATCTTTTTGTACCTGAGAGGCATCGATTTGCGGCGGAGGCATTTACGGCTCCAAAATTGTTTACAAGAACAGGAAGACTCTGCCAGGCTGAGCTGGGAAACTGGGAGGATTTGCTGCTGTAGAAATGACTCCATATTCATGCACCCAGGAAAGGATGGGGTGGGTGGAAGATTCCAGACCGGATTTACCTGCTGGTTGTAGAGATCAGCGAATGGAAATAAGAGGGAGTGAGATCCCAAGATGTGAATCAGGAGAGGAAGCAGAAGGTGCTCCAAAGGGCATGGAGTGATGGGACAAGGGGGAATGGCTTTGAGCTGAAGGGTGGGAGGTTTAGATGGGATATTGGGAAGAAATTCTTGGCTGTGAGAGTGGGGAGGCCCTACAGAGGTTGCCCAGAGAAGCTCTGGCTGCCCCATCCCTGGAAGTGTCCAAGGCCTGGTTGGAGCAACCTGGGCTAGTGGGAGGTGTCCCTGCCCATGGCAGGGATGATCCTTAAGGTCCTTTCCAACCTAAACCATTCTGAGATTCTTTTATCCCTGCAGAGATAAAGGAGCATCTGTCCCTCATGGAAGAGTTTTGGTTCCCAGAGCTCTCATTGTATTTGGTGTCAATTTATTCAAAGTGGAGACCCTTAAATCTTTCACATAAAAACTGAGCATGGAATTAACTTCAGGGAAAATTCTCTTCTTAGTTGCACTGGTGTGTCCAGAGGGGTCAGACTGAAGTCAATAAGATATTTCAGGTATTTTTTGGTCTTAATATTTTACGTCTGAATTTAAGTTCAGATTCCTAGAATAAAAAATAAAATAGAATGTAATAAACACGACTCAAATGAAATATTATTTAAATGAATATACTTGCTTGATAAATATAGCTTGTATTTTAAGTATTTCTCAGGTTTGAATAGTGTAAGACCATATAGAATGTGCCTTATGTTTAATTTCTTTATCCATTTCGTGTTCATGGCCTTGACCTTGTAGAAAATGTTGGTAAATGTGTATTATATCCATGTGACAACTTGAATGGTAAGAATTGTTCCAATACACAGATCAATAACACGTTGGAATGCTGTTATTAAACAGAGAGCTGCCTCAGTAATGAAAAAAACACATCAACTTTCTATGAAATGATGTTTTTTTCAAGGCAGAGTGAGCCTTAGATCAAGCTTTGACAAATTCTGCTGCTCCTGAATAGATTAATTTTTTTGCTCCTGGCCTCCTTTCCACCTGGAAGAGAGAAAAGAAAGTAATTCCTGCTCCAGAGACAAAGGGATTTAAAATGAGGGGAAGGAAGCCACAACTCTCAGCAGCAGCATTTTGATTCAGAAGCTTAAATACTGGTACATCATAAACTGTAAAATGTGCTGATTTCCACTTAGTGATAATTCCTGGTTTAGGGGGAAAAAACTCTTTCTTTTATATTTCTGACACCACCCCCCCAAAAAAAAAAAATTAAGTCCTGCTGTCTTTTTTCTCATTTATTTTGCAATTTTACGAAATTTCTTCACACACACACACACACAAAAATCCAACAGCAAAATGTTAAAATTTAAAAACTTCAAAAAGCTTTGTAGCTGCAAAGGGGTTTTCTTGTCCAGTTGTCCTAATTTCATAATTGGTTTACCATTGGACAGTTATTAGAGGTTTCATCCCTAAGGAATTTGCTTTGGCTCTCTGATTGTTAATATATGTTAACCTTAAGCCTGAACAGCTTCTACTGTTTATTTCCACTACATTCAAGATTGAATGTCCTGTTTGCTCCTAAAAATGCAATTGCTTTTGCTTTAGAGCTGAATTCAAAATGAGATTTTTTTAACAGCAAATTCAGTTGTGAAGTGGCCAGTGTCCCTTGAACGTAAGTAATCAAGGGAAGCAATTTGGTTTCTTATATTTGTGGACCAAATAAGGTTATTTTTTTGCTTTGTTTATGGGGGGGGGTTTATGCTGCTGATTTGCTTACACACTGACAGTCATTATCATCACAGAATCTCAGAATGGTTTGGGTTGGAAGGGCCATAAAGGTCATCTCATTCCAAACCCCTGCCGTGGGCAGGGACACCTTCCACTAGCCCAGGTTGCTCCAAGCCCCGTCCAACCTGGCCTTGGACACTTCCAGGGATGGGGCAACCACAGCTTCTCTGGCAACCTGTGCCAGGACCTCCTCACCCTCACAGGGAAGAATTTCTTCCCAATATCCCACTCAGCCCTGCCCTCTGGCACTGGAAGCCATTCCCTCTTATCCTGTCACTCCATCCCTTGTCAGCAGTCTCTCTCCATGTTTCTTGTAGTTCCTTCAGCACTGGAAGGCCACAATCAGGTCACCCCAAAGCTTCTCTTCTCCAGGCTGGACAATCCCAGCTCTCCCAGCCTTTTCTCCCAGCAGAGCTGCTCCAGCCCTCTGACCCTCTGATCATCTTGGTGTCTCCTCTGGACTCGCTCCAACAGCTCCATGTCCTCCCTGTGCTGGTGATCCCAGAGCTGGAGGCAGTGCTCCAGCTGGGATCTCAGAAATCAATTATCAAATGTGACCAGTTATCAAATGAAATTATCGAAAGACTGTTGAGGTTTGGTTGTCCTGTGTGGTGCCTTCCTGCCCACTTGCCAGAAGCGGGTTGAAGATTTAAGCACAGTAGCTGGGCAGTCCCAAACCTGCTGAAAATGAT